CATCTCTACCTGTAATACTCAAAACCGCCGATGGGTCCCCTCGTTAGAGCACTCTGTAGCAGGTTTTTCTCCAGAATATGTCTAAACATCTCTGCATCCCTCATTCATTTCATGCTGACTAATCTGCCGGTTCCCTGTTGATAAAAATAATCCCAAAGGCATGATGTAATCACCTCCATGCTTCATTGTAAGGAGAGTAATTGACCTTGTGATGAAGGGTTTTCTGGTTTCCTTCAAACATGACAAATTTTATACAGGCTGTCATGTGCCTTGCCGTACTGACTTGCATCTGGGTGCAGAACCATAAAGGCGTCTATTGTTTTATTATTTGTTAGTTGAACCTTTATGTTCTCTCTGCTTTTTTTTTTTTTTTTTACATCATAGTAGCTTCATCTGGTCTGGTTCTTTGTTTAGGTGTGAAATTAATGGATATATACTTGTGTTATAGATGGAAGAGTTAGGAATACTTTTCAGTGTTTAGTCCTGTTTCCTCTCCAAAACATAGCTGCAAGCTCAGTTTTTACTGCTGCTAATGCTACGTTCAGACCGCTTGCAGCAGGAGCAGCACAAATGAGCATGCTGCTTCATTTTTGATGCTTGTACAAGTTTAGTTCTGACATGCAGCTGAAGCATCTTTGCTACTCCAGCTTCAGCAGCCTGTAACATTGGCAGCTATATATGCTGTGATCAGTGGGTAAAAAGTAGCTTTAATATGTTTTAAATAAGAGAGTCACCCAGAAAACTTCATCTGTGCAGTCACTTCGTCAAGATTACATTCTTCCTTCCTTCCTTCAATTATTGTTTCGCTGTCGGAGCCGCTCAGACTTCCAAATACCGGCGGAACTCTGTGACTGGGAATCCTGTTCAGCAGCAGCCTTTGGCCCAGTCGTCAGAGGCTAACGTTCACTAATGTTAATAAAAGCGAATATGTTTTACCGGCAGGTCTCATCATTTTAAGTTAATTAAGGCATTTCAGGAGAGTGATCATAGCGCTTTGCATCAGCAGCTGCTGCTTTTGCAGTGCGTCATGCGTTTCAGATGCTTAGAAGCTCAAGAGGCTGCACCTTGCTGTACCTTGATGCGCGTTTACATTGACTTTGCATGTAAACTAGCAGTATTTGATCCTTCAGCCGCGTGTAGTGTGAATGTAGCATAACTGTACATGCTCTCTATCATCCCTTCTGACATGAAACCTGGCTCAGAGCTCATCTACATAACTTATTCTTTCCTAGACAGACCCACCTATGGAGCTAGTTTAGCCGTACCTTTTCTAACATAGAGAGTAATGATGGATCAGTGCTTCTATGTTCCTCTTGTGCGTCTGCTCCTGTCTTCTCACACGCTCACACTTAGCCTGGTTCTGCTGGATATTTCTTCCTTTTAGAAGGGAGTTTTTCTTCTCCACTGTTGCAGTGAGCATTTGTGACGTGAGGGATTGCTGTAGAGTTAATAACACAATGAAATAAAAATTTCTACTGTTACCAAATGCTCATCCAGGAGGAGCGAATCCTGCAAAGTTAATGACTGGATGCAAAAAGATGAATTTTCTTAGACAGAAAGCTTTGAACCAATGTGACTGAATGATCTGATTAAATTGTGTCTGTAAAGTGTTTTGAAATAACATGTGTTGTGAATAGGTGCTATATAAATACATTTAATTTAATTGAATTCTTAGTTTTCTATTTTTAGTAAATTTAAAAAATTCTTACTACGTTTTATTACAGTGTTATAAGATAATAGGGTTTGTGTGTAGAACGGTGAAGAAAGATATTAATTCTATACCATTTGTAGCAAGGCTGAGAACTAATTAAATGTCACTAAAAATATTTTTTGGGCTGTAGTAGCTTTCTATCAGGTAGAATCTCGAATCACTTTAAAGCGCATGAGGGCATCTTCCTTTTGAAAAAAGAAAACAAAGGAAACTACTCTTACATGCAGGCATCGTGTAATGTGGCCTGACAGGTTTCATAGTGCTGAAACCTGGTCTGAGACAATAACCCATTCATTCATCAGATTACCTGTGTGATGTCATGGGAGTATTCCCAAATGATAAACAACTCAATTCGGTCACAACTGAAAACTCATCTCAGTGTTTCATCACAATTGTTGAAAAACATTAAGGGAAACCCCTAATTCTAGATGGTTTAAATTATAGAGTAATATTAGAGAATGAGTCTAAACATTAACTGAGCTGTATTAACAATGATATTACTACTATTAATACTACTTATTATAATATATTGGTATTTATTAATGTTCTTTTTGTTATCATTGAAATCAGGGGTGATTTACCATTAGGCAATACTAGGCAGTTGCCCCATAAAACTCTGTTTACATTTATAGTTAATACAACTATTCCTTATTTTGCACATTAATTATGTTTCTGATCAATTCAATTCAATTCTACTCTATTCTATTCTATTAAAATGTCTGTATCAGTATAATGGGTCTGTTTTATGTGTTGTCTTCTTTATTCAGAGGGCCCCCTGCCTGTCTTTGCCTAGGGCCCCAGATTTCCTAAATCCGCCCCTGATAATAATCATGGTTTCCCAAATGGATTATCAATCATAAGACTACATGTGCTATTAGTACACTGTTTAATGTTGGTAATAATATATTAAGAGCTGCATTACAACAATAACGTATTTTAATCATACTAATAATGTAAAATAGTAATGTTGCTATTTATTTAAGACTATCAGCACTACAATTAATAAAAACACCACTGTTAAAATACAAATTAAACATCTACAATTCATCTTGTTATGTGGAATAAAATTAACCACAACAAATAAACAATTTTTTCACTTTTTATAATTAAACTGCATCATAATAAAGACTTTGTAAGGTTGAATACCAATAGGAAAAAAAGTAACTGAAGTTACTTTAAAAGTTACTGATAGCATTATCTACATAAAAAAAAACTTGTAATAATGGTGATATTCAAAGAATTATATCTTTATGTTTAGATGTGATTATCATTATTTATTTCTCAAATAAATGTTAAAAATCAAGTGTGTTGGTCATGGGTGATTCTAGAAAGGGGCCAATGGGGGCCAGTGCCCCCTGTAGATCATGTCCTGGCCCCTGTACTGAAGACATAATACTCAAAGAAATTCTAATGATGATATGCGCTGGAAAAGACATGGTTACTGATAGGTCATTTGAATGTATTCATTTTTTTTCTTTACAAATTCTGTTTTACGGTGGTAGCTTAATTGGTGTTGACACAGGATCCCAGTTTTCATCTGCTAAATTTTTAACTTTCAAAACAAATAAAAATAAAAATCTAATTTTGACTTACATTAAGCTAATAATATGTAAAATTCCTAAATTGAGGATGTATATTGACCTAATAAGAAATAGGGTTTTAATTAAATCTAACTGAATAGAAATGTCACTTTAATCAGCTATCTTAATACTATGACGGAGTATTAGGGTCAGGCTAGATATTTTTTTCCCTTCTATTTCAAGAATAAAGTCTTAAAATTGCAAGAATAAAGTCGCAACAAGAATAGTAAAAAAATTACAAGAATAAAGTCATAAAATCACGAGAATAAAGTCGTAAAATTTCGAGAATAGTCATAACAATACGAGAATAAAGTCGAAAAATTATGACGATAAAGTCATAGCATTATGATGGTAAAGTTGTAAAATTACGAGAATAAGGTTGTAATATTACAAGAATAAAGTCGTAATATTACAAGAAAAAAGTCACAATGAGAATAGTCCTAAAATTACAAGAAACATGTTTTTATGACAACTCCTACAAGAAGCGCTTTCTTCACTAAAATGAGGAATGTGGAGCATCATGTGAACTTATAAGGAAATCTTTTAGCACAACAGCAACATATTGGGCAGCATGACAAAGTGGACTCAGGTTGCTGTTTGGTGGCGCTGGTCGACCGTCATCCGCTGGTCGGAGCTCAGAGCTTTCTTTCTGAAACGGATAGTGGTATGATGACTTCATTCTCTTAAAATTACAACTTTATTCTCGTAATATTACTTTATTCTTGTAATGTTACAACTTTATTCTCGTAATATTACTTTATTCTTGTAATGTTACAACTTTATTCTCGTAATATTACTTTATTCTTGTAATGTTACAACTTTATTTTCGTGATTTTACGATTTTATTATCATGTTATAAATTTTATTCTCGTAATATTACAACTTTATTCTTGTAATGTTAAAACTTTATTCTCTTAATGTAACGAGTTTATCCTCGTAATGCTATGACTTTATTCTCCTAATATTACAACTTTATTCTCGTAATGTTATGAATTTATTCTCGTAATTTTAAAACTTTTTCTTGTAATTTTATTACTTTATTTTCGTAATTTTACGAATTTATTCTCATAATGTTACGACTTTATCCTCATGTTACAACTGTATTCTTCTAATGTTAAAACTTTATTTTCATAATTTTACAAGTTTATTCTCGTAATGTTATGAATTTATTCTCGTAATTTTAAAACTTTTTCTTGTAATTTTATTACTTTATTCTCGTAATGTTACGAATTTATTCTCATAATGTTACGACTTTATCCTCATAATGTTACAGCTGTATTCTTCTAATGTTAAAACTTTATTTTCATAATTTTACAAGTTTATTCTCGTTATGTTATGAATTTATTCTCGTAATATTAAAATTTTATTCTTGTAATTTTATTACTTTATTTTCGTAATTTTATTACTTTATTCTCGTAATGTTACAACTTTATCCTCGTAATGTTACAACTTTATTCTTGTAATGTTACAACTTTATTTTTGTAATGTTATGAATTTATTCTCGTAATGTTAAAACTTTATTCTTGTTATGTTACAACTTTATTTTCTTAATTTTATGACTTTATTCTCGCAAAGTTATGAATTTATTCTTGTAATGTTACGACTTAATTTTCGTAATTTTACGACCTTATGACTTTGAACCCCTTGCCCTGATTTTCATTTCATGCTTTTCTGTGCCACCATGAAAACGCGCTGGCCCCCTCCTGGCTCCATCTGGCCCCCTGGTAACCGCCCCTGGTGTTGTAGTGAATAAGGTAACCTGTCTGTAAACCGCCTGAGTTTGTTGCGCTGTTGTTGCTTTTCTTTGCTGACGTTTTCCACAGAGACGGCTGTTTACAGGACACAACGCAACGTCACTTTAATCCTGCTCAGTCAACACAAACGGTCAGCTCTTTAACATTAATCGGTAATTCAGTTAGTCACACTTTAAAACACTGGACAGGTTTATTCATGGTCACCTGTTTCTGCCTGTTTAAATATCATTTTCACTTTCATGGCGTCACTGCGGCTCCTTCCTCCATTATCGGACAGACCAATTACTCACCTACAGTCAGAGACGTCCAGCCGACCCCCCCACCCTGATACCAAGGCTTTCTATCTGTCCTACAGGTAGATAGAAAAGTTTAAATCCATGTCCAGCAAGCACTTAGGTCCCGCTCACTTCAATAGAAAAGGTTCCGGAAAGTTTTAGGGGAAAACCGTCTACCTGAGCGTCAAGGTACAGGAAGCGGACCAGGTAAGGTAGAGCCAGGCTGCACTTCCGGTTAGAGGGGTTTAAAAAAATAAAACTCAGGTACAATGAACAACACATTAGATGTGTTATCATGCTTTTTCACTTATCAAAGCAACACATTTACATTCTTCAATTATTTAAAGGCGTTTAATTCTTTTTACGACAAAGATACTGAAACCTGCCGCTCACATTGGAGTTTTATTTTGATAGACTTTCGGTGTTATTGTTTTTAATGACGAATATTTCCGCAAAGCAGTCAGAGAGTTATTATTAGGCTGTAGTTACACACAGAACACAGGCTGGGAAAAGCAACAACAATGCAACAACCAGTGATTGATTAACCCAGTTAATTGATGAATGTGTCTGCGGAGAGCCATGTTTTTCTAATGTTTGGAAAGAAAAACATTTAATATTTTTTTGTTTTTAGTTAACATAAAAAAAGAAAATATTTTAAAAAGATTTTAAAAATTTTTAAATTTTGGAGCGAGGAGGCCCCTGCGTTAAACCTTCTATGACTGTAGGGGTGTAAATCACTCCCATCATGGCGATTCCTTTCAGGATCAATTTCCTGACCCGACAATTCGAATATTTTCGATACTCCAGAAGACATCACAATATGATTCGATTGATTGATTGGTAACTTTTTATTTTTTTTTTTACCTTACAGGCTGTATGCATTATATTTTAGAAACAAAAGCAAATAACAGAAGTAGCAAAGTTGTACTCCACCTGGGCCTATAAAAAACCTCATTCACTGAAAAATAATAACGCCTCTGTATTATAGATTCTGGAAGGCCTTGCATCAAAAGATACTGCAAGTGGAAAGAGGGTCGTGGCTAAAGGAAGCGAGGTAGGAGGGCAAAATAGGTTTAACTCCACCGCAGCACGGGAGTTAGAAATATGTCCAAATGGATAAAAATAGAACGAAGGGAAAAAAAACAGCCTTCCTCTACCCTGTCATCTGCTGGGTCCCTGGTACCACAGAGCGGGACAGAAAGAGACTGAATAAGCTGGTGAGAAAGGTTAGTTCTGTCCTGGGCTGCACTCTGGATTCAGCGGAGAAAGTGTCTGAGAGGAAGGAGCTGTCCAAGCTTCCATCCATCATGGACAACACCTTCCAACCTCTGCACCGGCCTGTAGAGGAGCTGAGCAGCTCTTTTAGTAAAAAGGAGCGCTACCACAGGTCATTCATCCCTGCTGCAACCAGACTTTACATGCGACACTACAATGGCAATAAGTTGTGCAATGTATAATGTGTAATTACTATTTGATACCCTGAGCAATAAGCTGTTTCTCTATATTTGACATCTGCCATCTGGATTTACAATGCTACACCATAACTGCAATAAAAATAATTAATGTGCAATCACTATTTTTTTTCCTTTTTTTCTCTCTTTTTTGATACAATATAACTTACAGACAACAAACTTAACCTTGTAACATGTACTTATACACACTTACATACACTCATGCATTCACCATTTAAACCTGCATTTGTTTTTTAAAGAACTTTGTAACTTTCAGAAACAACCTGATCTATTGATGCGTAGAACCACCTGCTACCAATTCTACACCACTTGTAAAGAACTTCAGCATAAAAACAGCACAAAAATAAAGAGCTATCTTGATTATTATTTATTATTAAAAAACAAACCAAAAAGAAAACAGGAGAGCCTTGATTCTCCTCAAACTGTAAAAGGTTTAATGTTGAATCTATTACCACAAAGAAACTACAACTCTGATTTGAGAATGTATCTGAACAACCTGGCCACATGGCAACAACTAATGCCTTAATAAAATGAATAAACTATCAATAATATCTGCCCCGAGTTTCTCACATTTGGGGAATGTCATGCTAATCTCTAGATAGATAGATCGGTTTATCCACAATGTGTATTCATATTGTTTCACATTTGAGGCGCACACATTTGACGCGTTTTTAAAGAAGATAAAAATCAGCTTTGGACAAAGTTTTGTTTAAATTAAGCAAAGCTGTTTGCCTTTGGGTTCACTAAACATGCCTATTATCTTCCTCTAGTTTTATTTTAACATTCATCTTTAATTATCCTCCCATATTTGTTTTTTTTTTTCTTTGTATGGCTCAGTGTTGATGTTTACTGTCTGCTCTGCTGCTTAACTCCCAGATTGTCTATAAGGTCAATAAAATCAGAAGAACTGCAGGAGGAACGTCTCACTTTCCTTTTTTAGAGCTAATTTGTTTTGACACTGCAAGGTGACAAGAACAATTGTTCTGTTAACATGAGCTGTCAGGTCAGACCCCCCAAAAGAGACACAATAATAACCACCAATCTTCCAAAGCGCTGTACTATAGTAATATTAGAATACTTTCTCAAGTTGACTTCAGTTTTAAAACATTTACAAATTTACAACCACTTATTTCAAGACAATTTACAAAAAAAAGACAAAAAGATCCTGTTCACATGACTTGAATCAAACCTTTATTATAGTAAGAAATAACAGGAGAAGATAGAACGACAGGAAACATACTTCAACAGAACCAGACCCAGTAGGGGGATTTATTATAATACAGTCTTATAAAATAGAAACAAGTCCCAACAAATTTCATCTAAAGGCAATTAACATGACAGCTTTAATACAGAAACATGTAACAGAATTCAACACAAACAGAATCAAATTGAAAAACAAACATCCAGCCCAGTCCAATCCTATTTACAACATGGGGAAGATAAATTCAGCTTATTATGGTGTTTAGAGAAATGTCTTC